TTCTACTGATTCTCCCAAATTTTTTAAGGAACGATAATCTTTCATCAATGTATCAGAAAAGTGTCTTAAAGCAATGGAATTTTCCTTCGGAATGTTTTCTAACTCGAATAGTGACTTTATGTGACAATTAATAATTACTCTCTTGTTTTGAAATCTCTTTTTCAATAAGTCCCATGCAATGTCATAATTTAAATCAGTTATTTCAAGTGATTGAACTACTTTAAGAGCATCACCCCGTAAGTATGATTTTAAATAATAAAATTTTTGTACTTTGGTCAATGTTTGATTCTGATGAACAAGAGAATCAAAAGTGTCATAAAATTGCATAAATTCACTGAATGAACCACTAAATTCTGCGATCTTTATAGGTGGGAGTTGTACATTGGGCAATCGTAAGTTTGAAGGCAAGGATGTCCCACATTGAACATTTTGAACTGGTGATGGAGTTTGAACTGGACTTTGAACTGGAGTATTTACCTTTCTATGGTTATTAATAATATCTTGAGCTGAAGAAACAGTGCTATAAAAAGCTTCTTCGAATGTAACCCTTTCTTGTAATTGTTTATCATCATTGTTAGTTAATAATTCGATTTGACTTTGAACAGAATCAAAATTATTAAAATATGATTCGATTGTTGATAATCTTTTTTCCAATTCTGTTGCCGACTTGTTTGCAATATAAAAAGTGTTTACAAATGAACTAAATCGCGTTAAATGTGATTTTATCTGCCCACGATGAAAAACTGATTGTTTTAACTTGTCTTGAAATTGTTCCTCTAGTTCGTTGTCACTAGGAGGAGCCATCTTGCAAAATATGTGTAAAAATAAACTTGTGAACACAAAAAGGAATATTTGATACTTGTTTCAAACACCTTTAACAAATGAACCTTGTGAATACGTAGATAATGTGCAAATTAATTATTGAACAAATTGAGTCTACCTGTTGTGATTTATATGGGAATAGGAAAATGATCATGGAACGGACTTACATTGATTTAAATCCTTCCTGTTGCCTTGTTTTCCCCCTTGGAGCACTGAACACTTTTATTTTGATCGATTGAATGTCAAATGTACGTATGGATACGCGGTACACGATATTTTTCGAAAATAATCCGGTGAGAAGTGACCAAATGTTGTATTTGCTGGTTCAAAATGGTACTTTCGAAAATAAAATGAACACTACTGAACAGATAGCGGACTGTATACTAGTAAAATGACCTCTGAGCCGGTCAACTGAATGCGCAATAAAATTGTGAATGTGAATCTTAACGTAACCGAACTTACTTGAACCATAGAGTGTTCATAGAATTCGGCACGGCATGGTCGGCATTGCTTATTCTATGATGGCGGCGAATCGACTCCTTCCTCGTTGTCGTTGTGTAGGATTGAACTTCGGGAGGTTGTGCGCGCGCGGCAGGAAGTCCAAACGCGCACAGCTGGCTGTCAGAACGCGGATAATGAACGTTAGATCGCGCGTAATTCAAATATCAAAACGCACAATGTCAATAATTACAATGAATATCATGAACTCTACCAAACCGAAACATATAATACGTTGCATTTTTTATCGGTGGTGTAAGTATTTCAATGCCATCAGCTATATTTGTATTGAAATAACATACTTGAATTGAGTTGCTTAGAATCTCAAAATTTTGATTTTCGAAATCTGTTCTATATTGAAACGGAATTGTTGTTTTATTATTAGAAAGAAGCATATTAGAAAAATCTATATTTAAATTATTATCTTGTAATGCTTTGATTCCAATAATTCCATCAAAATAGTCATGGAAGTTATACATTATCATTTCAATGTTGTCTTGAATATTATATTCTTGTAAAATTGGGATATTGATTTTTCCATACGTTTTTCTTGTACCCATGCAAGTAGTTAGCTTGTTTCTTGAATTAATTATAGAATTTGAAAAATATTCTTCTGCAATTGAGGGTCTTATTAAAGAGGCATGACTTCCTGTGTCAATTAATAATTTACACGGTGGATAGTCTATTTGAATAAAAGGCAGTTGGTTGATTTGATAAGCATTTAAAGTTAATGCTGACTCATTGCATCCAAGGCTTGTAACTGAAAATTTTCGTCTTCAGTTGCGACTTGATTTTCTTCAAAATTTGTCTCTTCATAATAGTTTTGATTTTCAGAACTTTCGTCATTTTCGAAATTCAGGTTCAGGCAATTCGATTTCAAAGATATTATTAATTTCTTCGATTGTATATTTAGAAGGGTATTGATGTTGATTTTGTGCTCTTGGTTGCACTGAAACACCGGACATAGGTGTCGGTTTCGAAAATTGTTGATTAGTGTTTTTTCGAAAAGCATTATTGCAGTTTTTGCCAAAAGTTCTTGAACTAGTAGGAAATTTTGTTGGTACATAGTCCTTTTTAGGTTGTATATTAATAGGTTGGGATGGAAACTGTGGTTTCTGTGGTGCATACGATGTTTTTTGTGTATATTGAGGTTTTTGTTGAGTATAGGTTTGTTGTGAACGAAATTGCGTATTTTTATTTTTGAAATTTGAAAAATTTTGATTTTGATTAGTAGAATGAGTAAGTCCTCTACTAAATTTCATGTGGTTTTCAGCTAGTTGATAATTTAACACAAATTTGTTAGCTGCATCCAACGTTTGTGGATTTTGAACCATTGAAATTGTTTTTAATTCGGTTGGCGAATTAGTGACTAGATTTTGAATAGCAATAATTTCGTTTTGTTCAATTAAGACATTTGCAACTACCGTTAAATTCGGGTCGCACATGATTTTAGATGTAATTCTTTGAACTAAACCTTTTAGTTTATCCAAATACTCAATAATAGTTTCTTTATTAGTTTTAGTGGTATACATAAGCTCTTGTACCAAATTCTGTCTAGAATATTGATCACCATATTTAATTCTTAACGCTTCTCTTATATCTGTCCATGTTTGTAAATCAGGACGTGCCATAAGAAAATTTCCTGCGTCATTTATTAATTTTGATTTTATGGCGGTAACCACATACTCTTTTTGAGCTTTTTCACCAGTATAATAGGTTTGGTAAAATTCATTTATGTTTCTTATGAAATATTCTAAATATTGGCTTTCGCCACTGAAAGGTTTGATTAGTTGAACGATTGATTTTAAATTTTCACTCATTGTTACGGTTGATCTTTGATTTTGGTTGTTACTTCTTGAATTAGGATTGTAAAGATAAGTTAAATTAAATTGAGTCAAAAGATTCTCGATTTCTTCTTCAGAATCTGACATATATATTTCTTTGAATTTTTAAAAGAAATTATTTTGAAAATTTAAAAAAATTCAAAATTAAAAAATTTTATTAAAATAAAAATTATAATTAATTAATCAGTCTTATGCGTTGTTTTTTCTTTAAAATTAAAAGTTGTTGTGGGTTTGTAAATTCTTTGTTACTCTTTAGTTTTTTGATTTCAGTCTTTTCAGCAAACCTTTTTGAATTGCAAAAGAACAAAAATCTGAATTTAAGTCTTTTCAGTAAATCAAAAATTAGAAATTACAAAAGATCAAAAATCCAAAAATCTTAACTATGGAACACCAATTACAAAATGTATAAAGAGAAAGGTTGTACTTACTAGGTAAAGCTAATAACAGTAGTCTTTCTTCACACGTTGTTTCTTGTTATTCCTTATACTCAGTTAACCAATTCGAAGTGGACAGTATCTGGAACGTTTAATAGCAGCACTGATAATCCAAATTTCACTTTTCCGAAGAATTCACTTTTTCGAACTTCCTTCAGTCTTTTGAAATTTTCGCGACGGATTACGACTGTTACAACTCCCGAAACTTAAGCACTCTGAGCATCCGAACGACTGCGCCAATTATATTTTCGATTCAGAAACTTGTATTTTAAAAAACATTTATTTTATTGATTAAAATACAGAGGTGACAAAAGAAAATATTCGGATCAAATTGCTACAGGCTAAAGCCAGAAAACAAAACGTTCCTTATGGGACTGCATCGGCTTAAATAATCATTTAATGCCGACATAGCAATTTGATGTTTACTTTACAACAATGTATTTAAAAAGTCCTAGAGGAAAGGGGTAAGCACATTAAAGCATATAAAAAATAGATAATTGATTATAAATCAGCATGGCAATTGGTTAATATAACTTGCTGATTTTGCCATAAAATAGAAATCTATTAACGTAAACAAAATAATAATAATTGTAAAAAATCACTAGTCACTAATGCCTTATATCCTCTCGCTTCTCAACCTTTGACACAGATCAATAAATAACATCTATTCTTATCAGCTTAATATCGCTATACCTATCAAAGATGCAGAATCAACAGGGAAAAAAATTTAATTAAAAAAATCATAACTTGATAAATATTCAAGGATCCATATTTTTTTTCTCGCTAACCATCTTGAAATTGCTTTGTTTATCAGTAATAATCAAAATCATATTAAAAATCAAAGGGACCTAAAGTGATCTATCACCTAAATTACAATCAAAAAATGTTATGAGGTTCCTGAACATGAAGACAAACCCAGAAATTAGGCACCTAAAAAAAATTAAAAGCAAGTAGGCCAAGCAACATAGGGTTTGTAGGCGAAATAATTCTCGGAAAGCTGGAAATGGTATTAATCTCTTTATTTGCATGTAAAAAGGGGTTTTTAAAGTTTGCACCAATTTTCCGCTTGTGCTACATACGGGGTGTCCCAAAAACCTCAATTTTTTTGAATTTTTTCAGTTTTTCACTGATTACTCCGAAATGGTGCATTCTATGAAAATTTTACTCTTTTATAAATGGAAGTACGTGAAATTCTACGTCGAATGGACACCACATAGTTATATTTGGGTCAAGTGGTATGGACGCTATTAAGGTTCAAAAAACAGCCATGTTAAAAATAAAGCGCCATTGTGATGTAAATGTGTAATTGAGACGTAAAAAATTGAGTTTAAGTACAAATGGCTTTGATGTAAGTTTAAATATGTAGATAATTCACATAAAAATACATTAAATACATTTAACGTTAATTGAATTTGCTGCGTTTGGAAGTAGAAGCTGACTGAATCAATTGGTCCACTTTAAGGTCTTCGTCATCCGGAAGCTCATCAAGTTCGTCATCATTATCAGATAGCTTCACTTCGTCGTCCATTAAGTTTGTGTCGTCAATAATTTCATCTGGTGTATTGCTGCAGGACGCTCCTCTACAATTATAGCATATTGGAGAACATTTCATTCCTTGTTTCCTACAACCACACGCATTTCGGCACCCCTTTGAACATTTGGAACATTTGCAGGCAGTGTTATTAAGCAACTCCTGCGGGGCTTGTTCGGCTGTCGATGGTACTGGGAGCAGCCCATGCTTAGTTATCTTCCATCCCCATTGAACTGGATCCATATCATGACCATTCCACAAATTAACCTGTAGGAATTCCCTCATTGAGTGCAGTTTAGCAGCTTCTTCAGTTGCAGGAAGAGTAGTAGCCAGGTTGAAGTTATTTTGTACTAAGGATTTGGTGAACAGTTTAAAGCGTATTTCATTCAGAGAGGAAGATCGGAGAAGCGATCCGGCATACAAAGCCGCAATTACTTGTTCGCCCGCAGCACCAATCTCATCTGCAGTCGCATTACTATTTTGGAATATCTCGACAGCTTTTTGTATCTCCGCATCTTTGTCGAGGAGCTTCACAAGCTTCATCTTCCCCTGTCTGAAAATGGCTGATGTTGAATCACAGCCGCTAAAAGCGTGAAGAAATAAAATATTTCCTTTAACTTTGTTCGACATTTTGAAATGTGTCGGGGAATAAAAAACGGTCTCTAACTTTCCTTTCCCAGGATTCATTAAAAATAACGAATCGCTATTAGGAGCTAACGCAGTAATAATTACCAAAAGATCTATGTCTTCTCCTACCACAACCACACATTCAGAGTGTGTAGCATTTTCCATAGCTCGTCGGACAATGGTTATATCGGCATCCTCTGCAGCTTGTTCGACAGAGATATTTTCCTCTGAAAATTTCTTGATCAGCATTGAGATCATTCGTTTTTTGTTTCCTTCATTCGAAAGAAATTTATCTTTTGATATTGTCAATAACATGGATTCGTCAAACTTAACATTTGCGGCCATGAACTTGTTTCTTCTGAGGCGTTCTGCAGATTTTGTGCTCTTTTCTCCAGGGTCGTCTGGATAGCCATCAAATACAATGATTGATCGTGACCCAAAGTATTTTTTGACATATTCCACGTATTTGTTAAGTATTGACGAGAATCTTTCCCTCAACTCCCACGGTACTCGGTGAAGTAGAAAGCCACCGTCGATCACATAAAGTGCACTTCCGATGTTTGACGGGGTTTCCACTGGATTAAACAAATCATAGAAAACCGATTTACGTGACTTCCTCATCATTCCTTGTTCATCAAATAAAGATGGTGGGTATGGAGCCAATTCATATGTAAAGTAGTTTTTGAGTTCGTATTCGGTTTTTTTATGAAATGAGATTCTCCTGAAAATGGTATATAGGTCAACTGGCACTACTTCGTCATGCAACTTGACACTGCTGGTGAAGCCACGCATTGGTAGCACTCTTTTCTTTCTGGAGAACTTCACTTGACCAAAATTGCTTCCAATAATGCTTTCGAGACTGGAACTTCCGATTTGGTCTGAAAGATGGCAATTTACGTTTTGATCTCCTATAACTCCGGTAGACAGTGACATTACGTACTCTCCTACTGGAAAGGGGTTGTGGCAAAGAAACCAGTCTACGAATTTCTTGCAGTCACTGTTATCTCTAGTAATTCTCGATAACCTTGCATCCACATGTTGTTCAGTAGTGCAGAATGAAACACCACAAAAGCTCTCTACCTGCTGGGATACCTTCATAATTGTAGGCATGGTCGCAACCCATTTAGCCAATGTGCTGTCCGTTATTCCTCTGCCGCGACTCAAACCTCCTGAACTTTTCATAGCTCTCATCAGGCTTTGCTCTATGGTCATATCAGACCATAGACCTGACCAGAATTTATCAGATCTTCTGATAGTGAAAAAGCCATTTGTCACAAACATTTCATGATCCTTGGGAGTCAGACGGGATTTTAGTTTCAACATATCCTGAAGGTATAAATGACAAGATTTCGCGTATAAAAAATGCCCACTGGCGTGAAAGTAGGGTAGCATTTCTCTTATGCTTTGAAGATGCAGGTACCAATCACCGGATCTTTCAGCTTGGACAAATTTCTTGACTATCGTTACCATTTTGAAATACTGCACCCACAGTCTAGCAGTTGCTCCTCTAGACTCCAACTCCTCAAGTTTGTTCGAAAACTTGTCAAGAATATTTTTAACTTCAGGAGCATCAATATCGGCAGATGCACTGTCACTCATTACATGACTCATAAGCTCTAAAAAAGCTAACTGTTCTTACTCTGCTATATCCAGCATGGACAATACAATATTACTCATTGCAAGGTGAGCCAAAATGTGTGCCCGTAGAGCTCGTGAGTAAGCGTGTCCTGTCATCATTTTGTTGGTTGATGTAGCTGCGTAAGCCTCGCTAAATAGCTCCTGTAACCCACTGCCATCCATGATAAAACCGATAGCCCCCATGAATGACATGAGTAAATGGAATCCACCGAGCCTGACGATTACTGAACTGATTTCTGAATCAGGACCAAATGAAGAAGCTACAATATCTCTTGCCTTTATATAAAGGGGTTGGTCAAACGTTACGAAACATGAATCCTGTTTAAGTGATTTGCATTTATTTGCAGCATAAAGCAGTGCTGAGTAAACTGTATCATAGCTGGATGGCGGGGCATTGATGAATGGTAGGCACAATATGCCTGATTTTGAATAAGATCGGCCCTTAGTAACTTTTTCCATAAACCCATTCCAACCTGGAATGTCCTTACGTCCTTGCCATTTGCCATACGCCCATATAAAATCAGTGGGCAATAGCTTAATCTCGAAACTAGGCAATTTCTCGTCAAGGTCGAGTATGTCAATATCACAAAGGCCTGTCTTAGCTTTCCTTTGAAAAGCAACGATTGGCATTGCTCCGAATTCGCCCAAGGTTCCTGCATTAGGGATTTTTTTTACTCTCTCCATAATAGTTCCTTCAGATTTTGAAGGCTCAGGTGTAGTGCACTGGATGCCTTCCATTGCGTGAAAAGTATTGGTGCCATCTAATGTGTCAATGTTTAAGTCAGCATTGTCAAAGACAAACTGTGTGAGCGATTCTGATGGTACTATATCTTCATTTCGTTGTGTCAAGCATGAAATTTCATAATGTTGCACTTCATTGTATGTGCAACAAAATCCTGTCGCTGAAACAATCTCCAAGAGATCCCTTGAGCCATATTTTCGATGAATAAGCGCCCCTAGGCCAACTTGTAACGCTGATCGATAAGATTTCGGTCGCGTAGCTGCAATAATTGCGTGGGCGATGGATGTAATTTTGGTATTGACTTTGTCATTATCTTGACTCTTATTAGGGGCAATAATAGTTGATCTTAGGAGCAAGTCAAGCGATTCCGGTATGTCGTGTTCAACATTATCTAAAAAACTGTTAGGTGCAGGATAGGAGGTGAAGTTATATATTCTTGAACGAATGTCCTCACGGATTATGGCAGCAGCTGCTTTTACCACACGGAGTTTCTCTCCCTCTTTGTCAGCCAGTTTTGACTCGTACCATTTCTCAGTCAAGATCGTGTAGCCTGTGTTCTTGAAGCATATTATACTGGGACTGAATCTGTTCTTACCAATTGTAACTATAATGTCGTCTCCATAAACATTCTCGAGCCTTTTTTTCAGAATGAGGGTTGTTGGGATTGGTTCACTATAATCTTTGAGAATATCACTCAGTACAAACTGGCATTGGTCTTCATTTGCATCAAGGTATCTGCATATGTAATCTACTGCAGCCGTCACTTCTTCATCCTCTGGGCGGCCTCGCTTTGTTCCTGATTGTACATATTCTCCGAAATAATTTTTACAGCATGATCCATGATACCTCCCTTCAGCTGCAATAAGATCAATCTCATTTTCAATTCGAAAAACTACAGCGTTACTCCATTCATCACTTTTCCTGGTTGTTTTAGCTGCATCAATAACCTTTTGCTTAAAATCCAGTTGAGTCACTTCATTAACTTTTTCGCGTCGTGATTGGTTTAATTTTTTTTGACGTTCTATAAATTGATCGGAGGCATCTTTTCCACAAAAGAGACAGTGTCCCTTGAAATCAAACAGCGGTTGATTCGATCTCCTAGAGGCGCTAGGTTTAGAAGACTGCTCAGCTAGTGCAGCATCAATGTAGGACTGCTTATTGTAGATTTTTCTGCATTTTTCATGAACAGTTACAGAGGTTTCATCCTTTAACAAAATGTGTTTCCCATCCTTTCTTTTTTTACTACTATCCATGAAAGTTAGAATACCTTTTTCTTTTACTGTTGTCACCTGTAACAATGACAATTTTATAAAAAAAATAAAAAGTAGCACACTATATTGTTCAAATATATGTATATTTAAATTTGTCCAATATTGCGTATATTTAGACAATATTGGCCAGAATTTGATAATGTGCCATGTGAGATATAAATGAAAGTCAGTGCTATTGTACAAGTGAATCACTCACATGACATAGCAAGAATGCCGCATTAATAAATAATGGCCAAGTAGGCACGTCAAAAACTTCGAAGAGAGAAACACAATCAGCAGAGCGAAAATTAATCAGAGTTATTTTTACGCAATTTATAATTATTGTATTAATTGTAAATGTTCTAGGTAACTTTTTGAGTAAAAAAAAGGTATTTCATATTATTGATCTCGATTTGTTGAAGTTTTCATTTGTACCGTGTGGTCTTGAGCAAACACTAGCTTTGTTTGTTTATTTGCACCAGCCAGCACCAAACTAATCTTTCTACTTCAAACGAGTATGTTTATCTCTATATTTTTGTTAGGCTGACAGAGACAGACATTATTTTTCACTGATCAGGTGCAGCTTGGTGTAACTTTGGTGCAGATAAACAAACAAAGCTACTAATTTTAAATAATATTCCAGTATTAGGATCGATAAACCGATGTTTTAAAAATAGAAATACAATGTTGAGACAGCTCACCTGTCCTTGTAAACTATCACCACAGATGAAACATTTTGAATCCTCCATCACTTTTCACAAAACGTCACTACAACGCACACTGGGCTAAGAAAATAAGTTAAACTGGAAAATATTCTCCTGGATGAAAAAACGGCGAAAAACAGTTTTTTACCGCAACGTTAAACGGCTACGACTCGGGTCGGGCGATGCTGCTGCTTCGGCGCGGCATGTATAGATAGCAAGGGAAGGGGAAGAAAGATGCATCTTAAGCCGGGCCCAGACACTTCGCGATTATAGAGAACCGCGAAAATTTTGCGATTTATCTGGCGATGAGAAAAGTCAATTCCGACAATAGATGAATGTACTCTCCCTGACACATCGCAAATATTCAGGAATACCCACCCATATTCGTGATGTGTCTAGGGCCGGCATTACATATTTGTGATACCCACAGTATTCGGTGCAGTATAAACTCCGAACACATAATAATTTCATATAATACTTAACTTATCGGAAACAAGGTTTAAAAGTCCAAAATATGATTATTTCTTCAAAAATTGGAAAAATGTTTGTTTTTCAACATGCATATGGGCCACACCACTTGACTTAATTTTAATATGTTGTGCTTATTCGACGTAGAATTTTACGTACTTTAATTTATAAAAGAATAAAATTTTCATAGAAATGCATAATTTCGGAGTAATCAGTAAAAAACTGAAAATAATACAAAAAATTTGAGGTTTTCGGGACACCCCGTATGTAGCACAAGCGGAAAATTGGTGCAAACCTTAAAAACCCTTTTTTACATGCAAATAAAGAGATTAAAACGATTTCCAGATTTCCGAGAATTATTTCGCCTACACCCTCTTTTTCGGCCTATGTTTCCTGGCCTAAAGGCTAAGTAATAAAATTGTGAAGTTAAAGATAAAAAAGAAGAAGCAATCGTCAGACACAAATAAATCATTTTTTGATAATGAATTTTATTATCAACAGGAAAATAATCAATTTCTTATCGTTAACTTATACTCACGTGTATACATAAGTGCTGACTTCCATACTTTCAGCCCCATCTAACCAGCGAAATCTAACAGGTACTTCGTCCTTTTGATTTATATTGTACTCGTAAATAATGCCAGCATCGAATCTGCAAAAATATATTATTTAATTATTTGGTAATATTTGCAAAACAATAATTTACCCAGCCATAGACAACCAAATGGTATCTTCTTTGGTATACTTCAACCAAATAATCCTGTTGGGTACTTCCGGAAAAAACAACGGTTCCAATTCCTCTTCGCTTTCGGAATCGGCCAGAAATATTTCTTCGTCAATGTCCAAGCCGGGATTGTCTTTTTTGATTTTCTCCATTTCCTTACGCTTCCTGGCAACCTTTTCCGCTTTCCTGTTTTCGATTTCCGCTATTTTTTGATCGCGCCTGATTTGAGACTTGTACGAACGAAAATGATTCAAAACTGGCTCTAGTTCTAGTAAAAACGATACTCCGGTGTAGGGCTGTTCATCGCTGGGCAACTGAATCAGCATCAGTTGCCCTTGCATGCAGCCCAATAGAATTTCGGTTTCTTGGTGCCACGTCATCGTGGTCACTACGTCTGTTGTAGGGTAAAAACCAATGGGTACCAGTAAATCTTTGTGGCTCTCGATGGTGATTTTGAAAATGAAAATCGTCGCATCTTGACCGGCAGTGACCAATAGGGTGCCTTCTCGGTTCACCGACATTACGGTGATTGGTTTGTTGTGCGGTTTGATAACTTGAGGCACGGAAAAAACGAGGTTTGTGGGTTCGGCTTCGAAAGGTTCGCGTATTTGTAGACAACAGACTCGGACTTGGCCGTCTCCGAAGCCGGCTAGGAGAAGTGAACCGGAATGATCTACCTGAAATGATTTTTGTTTGCAATCCTTCAAACATGAATATCTCGGTAATTAGAAGCGGTACTTTTAAATAGAATTTCTCATTATCTATTATAACAAAGAATAACAAAATTACCTCTAAAGGAAGCCAAATCAAACAGGTGGCGCCAGCTGGAAACCGATGTTCCAAAACTCTCTTCTTGCTTAAGTAGTTATACAAATAAAATGTGCCTAATTCGCCCAGGGTGGCGATGTAAGGTCCGAAAGGGCACGCAGCCAATCCGACCACTTTACCACCGTGACACACGTACAATTGTTGCGAAGCTTTAGGTTCTTCGTCTGTGTTTAGATCTATCAACCATATACCGCCGTTACCATCCTGAAATAACAACAAAAAAATTCACGAAACGTATCTATTATTTTAAGTCAGTTATTTTTGATTGGCCGAAAGTTACTTGAAAGCAAGGATACTTTGTGAGCTTTGTCGTGCAGGGCCGTAGCCAGGGGGGGGGCATTGGGGGGCAATGCCCTATCTTTTAAATGATGATGCCATACCTTTAAAAATCAACATACAACAGGTTTCTTTAAAAAATTTAAGAGTAGATGATGCCTGGGGCCCAATTCTGGTCGCAGGGAGAGGAGAGCTCCCCGAGAGAACGGATTTTTTGTTCTTGTCAACGTAATCGAAAAGTGAACGAGAATGATAAAGACGAAAAATTTGTTCTCTCGGGGAACTCTCCTCTCCCTGAGACGAAAATCGGGCCCCTGAAGTAGATAGGCCTGAAATCGATTAAGCGAGGATGAATGTTTCCGAAAATGCCTAAATCTAATGAACAATGTTTGATTGAAGGTTGTTTGATAAAGGCGAGAGAGGAAGGATGCCTGGGCTGGAACTCTGTAACGAATAGAGATATTTTCTCTATCCCTATTGACGTTCCCTCTCTATTGATTTCGAGAAGAGAGAAGAAGACAGAAAATGCCATAACGATAGGGATATAACGATCTCTATACGTTACAGAGTCCCAGCCCTGGCAACTTTATAAGGTCATCTGGGGTGACTCAACATAATGCAAATCTCTATAAGGTATCATCAGATGCATCATCAAGTTACCCATTACCCAACCCCAACCCATTACCATACAACCTGAACCTTGATTTATTGAAAAATTTGCCATACACACACGTTATTTCGCGCGGTTTATCGTGGCGTGTTGGGATGTAGCGGTTAGCACGCGCGAAAGAACGGCGTGGCAAAAAAAGCGTCATGTTCCATACACTTGACAAAGTATTCAAATTATTTAGCACGTGATTACGCGCGGCATATCAGTTGGAAAGGAAAAACTGTATGTGTATGGGTAAAAAGTGTCATTTATCGTGTCGTTTGGAAGTGCATGTTGTCATGTACTAATTTTCAACGTGATAGTTTGCTACGCGGCGTTTATGTCTCCGTACTAGCCTCAAAACCGTGACGTGGAATGGCGTGTGGACACAGTTGTGAACTGCACTATCATGTACTTGAGTTCTGAGACGTCACATTCCAAATGAAAGCACGTCCGAAATCCCTTCCCATTCTATCATTGCGTGTAGCCCTTCTCACTCACGCACATGATTTTTCACAGGTTTTTGCAGATGACACGATAAACCGCGCGAAAGAACGTGTGTGTATGCCGGACTATTAGCCCCATTTTGTTTACCTATTAAAAATTTAAGGGGGGGGGGGGCAAGTAGAGTATGCCCTATGTCAAATTTGTCATGCCCTACCTTAAATTTGACTCTAGCTACGGCCCTGTTGTCGTGGAAACACAAACAGCAAACAAATCAAACAATATTCAATAATTATTTATTAATTTTTGTTCACAGTGGCAACAGCGTCAAAGTACCCCGCCGCCCAATACTCTTCCTGTTGCTACCTACCAAAAAAAATATAAAATATTGCGTCGGCTGTACCAGGCTGTACCACCTTCCCGCTCTAGGCGGCAGCTTATCGCCTACAAATTGAACCTGCTCTCTCGACTCTCACACCCTCTTCCGCGTAGATTTTTTAGTCTTTATCTAGACCAGTGGTTCCCAAACTGGGGGGCGCGCCCCCTTGGGGGAGCGTAAAGCAAAATTAAGGCGGAGCGTAAGGTCGATCTATGTTTCTCGGAATTATGGTCGGATATATTCGGAATACTTCGGAAGCACGCTCAGCGTTGCCAGATTGTTTCAACCACAGAAACGAATATTATTAGGCATGGGCGGTATGGTAAATAATATTACAAAAGATAGGAATTGAGTCCTTATGAATGTAGCTTAATTAAAATGTTATTATTTTGCATGTATGATATTTTTTTCTACATATTCGAAAGTTTCCGCAGCATCGTAGGGCCCTTTTGAACCGTGGACCCACGTCAGTGCCCCTGGGCGGCGCACTGACCTTCCCGGTAATATGTCCGCCCCTTGGCACGAGCTTCTAGCAATTTAATACTTTTTTCGAGCTAGGTATCAAATCGTAGAAATTGAAGAAATTTATATCAATAAACTAGAATTTGAGTAAAATCGAAATTCCCGCCATTCTACAGGTTTATAGCGCGCGAAATAAAAATAAAATAACCCGATCCGAGCCGGAAGTGAGCCGAGGAATGTCGCGGGGAACAAAGAGTGCGAGGGGGGCGTCGTTTCTCGTTTCGCTAATTTTTTCAAACAGTAACTATTTAAAAAAAAATATTAATAAAATAAAAATATTTTTTTCAATGTATTTTTGACAGGGGGGTGCTACAGTGGCTAAATAAACCTTTACATACAGTGGCGACAATAGAGGTCCCGCCGCCATCTTGTTCCCAACCTCTTGTTACTTTTAAATATTGATTTATAAGATTTAAATGAACATCTTATCATAAAAAATTGAAATTGGACGTATTTGATAACCATTTATTAGGTCCATCAAATACGTTTTTTCCATGATTTATGATGGATGTTCACCTAAATCCCATATATTCATATTTAAAAGTAACAAGAGGTTGGGAACAAGATGGCGGCGTTTTCAATATAAATATATGGGATTTTAGAACCAATCAAAAATGAGACAGCAATTGTCGCCACTGTGGGTAATAGAGTCACTGTAGGGGGTGCAAGTGCACCCCCTTGCACCTTGCTGCCGGCGCCCATGTTAATCCCCAAATAAATAATCTGCTTATAAAATATAAACTACAAATAAAGAAACATAACCTAAATTGCCTAAACCTACCTTCTACTTTATCAATTAAAACACGTTCGCGACGTCATGCGCCATCGGTGGCACATGACGGCTGATCCCAGCAACCGTCATGTACCACATGTGGTACACCGTGCCCTGCAAATCTAATCCTATTTAAAAATGCGACGGTTGCATAGAAAGCTCGGAAAACAAGTTACGGCTGTACGTAAAGGTGGTACATGACCCGTGGTACATGCGGTTCTAAATCGGACATCTTTCACATTGATTTCTATGATTTTTGTCTACCTACTGAAAAAAATAATAATTTAGTAATAGTTTTAATATTTATTTTTATTTAGGCAACACCCAGTATATAGTTTTACATTACTTAACTAAATTCTAACTGATAAAAACTTCTGATAATATGCCTTTTACATAGTGGCCACCGTTGGTACACCACGTCCCTAAGAAACAAATATTAGTCACAGCCGTCATGTACCACCGCTGGTACATTTTGAGAAACAACAAAAAATTACAAAAAACTCAAAACAAGTGAATAAAACTTTATTGAACACAAATACAACTATATATTCACATGTTGAACAAAAATAAAATAAAATACAGCTGTGCATTAACACACCTAAAATCGGCTACGTTGCGGACGTGTTAAAAATCCAATATCTTCAGCAACGTGAAACACTACCCACTTTATTTATAGGCAAAAAAACTAATAATTTTATATAATGAAATTAATAATTAAACACAATACACTACACACAAAATAATCACGACCAAAAAAAGGAAATAAAATATGGCGACTATGGCGTATACGCGTAAAATGGAGGGCGCGGTGGTTGGCGTCGGTAAGCAAATAGCGGCAATGGCGGCACCGGCATCTCTCCTTACCGTTGCAATGAAATTTTGCGCATGCGTGTTTACGACATATTCGCAAACGCATGATGATTGAACGGTAGTGAAATGTATTTATCACGTGCTAAGGATATTCTTTTTACTCATCTGGAGGAATATTACTATCATGTGACAAGATGGTTTTCTATTGGAATGTACCAAAGTCGGATATTCTTAGCATGTGCCGTATATGGATGTTGATGTGCTAAAAACATTCTCAGTCCGGAATGTTCTATAAACGCATATTCTTAGGAAGTTCGCTAAGGGAATATTCTCGGGAGGGTTGTGAATAGCATGTGATATGAACATTCACAGTTAGGATATCCGGTTTTGTATCTAGACCGCATATTATTAGAACGTGAATGTACCTTTTCATGTTTACTGGGGGTCTGTTTTTTTTCAAGTATTTGGGAGACGTTAAGAGCTAGCTAGATGCTCTTGCGAAATAGAATGTAGCAGTAATCGCTGTGAATGCAGAAGAAGTGGCCTTCCATGCGATGCACTTACTGCAAAGACATGGTGCCCCAACAAGATAACTGAAAAGTTGGTACTTTCAAATATTTTCATTTTAAATTAAAACTAATTCTTAACCATCATATTTTGTTTCGTAGTTTGGAAAATTCGGAAGACTAGGAATACCTACTATCCTCCCAATTATTTCTATGTTCTATGCTTTCATGAACTTAGCTACACTGCCATTTTGAATAGTCACGCGAAATTGTAATTTTATTTTGAAATATGCACTTACATCATTAAAGTACTAATTTAGTTTTTATTTAATTTTAATCTCATTAGTTGTATAAGAAAAAACTTGAGTAACGCCATTTTGAAAAAATCCGCTATCTTGAATATGATGCCACTCATGATAGGGTGCTGCAGGTGAAATTGAAGTATTATATTTAAGGAAACGGTTTGCTTCTATCACGATTTGAAACGTTTTTCCGTGTACTGCTACGACTATGGTGTGTAGGATCCAATGACATCGTAGGATCCTTCAATGAACAGTTTTAGTAAAACTGATCATATCCAGTTTTTTAATAATAATATAAATGAAGGAGATCATTTGTGACCTAGTAGACAGAATGGGCTAATGTAAAAGTTAACTAAAAGGTTGGACTCGACTAGGATTCAAACCTTAGACCTTCAGTAATCACCGAAGGTTTTCCGATTGTTTAACTAACACGTTAAACGAAACGCTTGACTGGGTAAAAATGAACTGAAGTCTGAAGACTTCGGTCGCTCAGTTGGTATTGAGTGATAATCCAGAGGATCTAGGTTCGAATCCTAAGGCGATTTCGGCAAACTTTGGTTGGTATACCATTTGGTTAACCAATTGGTACCTGCAACGTCATAGTAATGACGTAAGATACCATTTTGTTCCGAATTCGTTTGATAGGTGATGAAAGAAGGGAAGAGACGGGCCTTAACCTAACTTTGTGTTGTTCTTCTAGTTTCGGGAGCGACTAGATACTGACTGCACTGACTAAAATCTATTATAATCACTAATCAGCACTGTCTAGACAGTACCTTTGAGTAACCTATTGGCTAACTCAGCGTTTCCTGTAAATTTAAAGCTTATTCCATAATCCATTCAGCAAAAAAGTTACCCCATGTCTGTCGTTCAAAGCCCATTTTTCAAATGATCGTCAAACATTATTTGGCAGTCAAAACATACGAGAAAACAGGAAGTGAAGGCGAAAAAAACAAACATATTTGTTAAAAATTTCAAATTATTCAAATTCTAATGAACTTCCATTTATTTACATTTTCCAGAGCAGGACAAAACGAAAATAGACATAGATAGCACTATACCGAATAGAAGAACCGTGCTGCTGACCACGGTATCCTATTTGACAGACCAAAAAGGATACCAAAGTCACGGTGATGACATCATTTTCCTATCCGAAATTGGTTGGTATGCATTTGACAGACCAAACAGGGTACCAAACCATGTACCAAAGCTTACCGAAATCGCCTCTAGTCGAGTCTCCCGGGTTAAACAGAAGAGAAAATATAAATTTCGACGTCATTGACGACCTGCAACCATTATTTTATTAATTTTACTATAAAACGACTGGTACTTCTAAATAGGTAGGTATTGAAAATCGTATTTACACCGTGATTGTCGTAGCCCGTGCATTAGAATCCAATTGGATTGCAGGAGGATTGATGATAAGATAGAAGAGACTAATTATATGTACGTGTCTTTTCTCTGTCTGAATTGTTGACATTTTAGACAGCTGTCTTCTTTATTTTGTGTTGTGGAAGTTTTCAACTCTCGGAGGTCAGAACTTCTAGATAATTTTTCGTGATAGAAGTAAATTCCAAGATCTTGAATTCTCTAAAAACCATCTTCCACCATAAATCATCCTATACCTATATAACTTGTTCTAGGGATAATCGATCTGTCACAAAACACATATACATAGTGGGATCAAACTTCTAGGATACTTAAATAGAACTTATTGAAAATTGAAATCAAAAAAATGTTAATAGAAATATGGGTCCGCCAATGCTATTCGAAATACAGTAAGTCAAAATTTGAAAAAAACCGTTTTTTTAGCTCAGAAATCCGTTTTCCGTTTTTTTTTTAACTTGGCAGGTTTATTTGTAATGACAAAAGATATCTTTTAACTCAGTTAGATTTACTGTAACAAGTCATTAAAAAAGTGAAAAGTGCCTGACACTTTTTGGACGGTTTTTATTGCCAGTTTTAGTCCGAATTGTCACGAAAAACTTGATAAAATCATAAATTTTTAGTGGCGCAATTCGTTACGATGAGTTTTTTGATAATGACGTAGGTAATCGTGGGAGGCCTAGGCGTGAAAGTAAATCACTTTTACGCCTAAACACATAAAAATCACCCTTTTATATTCTCAATCACGTCACCTAAAAAAAATGTAAATAGGTTTGTAAATGCTTACCTGAGCATACCAAAAAGTATCACTGGCATCGGCGTGATTCCTTTTCTCGATCGACATTAATTTCACTCCCGGAGTATAAAAATCGTAGGTGGGATCAACCAGAATAACTCTATCATCATCCGGCGGATCCGCCTGATCGATCTTTTCGAACCACCACACTTTAACGTGGCCGTCCATGGATATCGTCCACAATTCGCCGTCCACGTAGTAGAATTGCATGATGGGAGCTTCGTGACATTTACGTCTTAGCGATCTGAACACTTCGAAAGTGATGAGCCCGTCATCCCAGACTAGGATGTTGCCCCACGAACATCCGGAAACAACCTGAAATAATAATATAGTGAACAATGGCCCAGGCATTAAAAATGAAAGATTGTCCATCTTCATAGCTCTACCATTAGGTATTCCACTAACTGATTTTCTAAGTGAAGCGATTAAAAGAAGAGAGATGAATGGTAAGGTTGGACGTGGATAAAAATACTCAAAAATCCACCCAAACTTACCTTGGCATCGGGCATAGGAAGTACCCCGACGATATCCGAATACTCGGTTTTACCGAACCGGCCAAGTTCGCCTTTCAACTTCAAACCAGTAAAAGTCGAGGCCATTTTCCAGAATTTAATGTGAGCCAGACCGCAGGTGGTCAATTGTCCGGCAACGTACGGCGAAAATTTCACCTTGTAAACGTCGTTGACGTACGATTTCGTCCTCAAAAGGATGGTGTGACGTTGCCAGTCCCATATGGTGATCAAAAAATCGGGTTCGCCGCTTTGTGATACCAATAAGTCACCGTCAGGACTGAAAATAAGTTGATTAATTTTGAATTTGCATGTATTTCTAATCTATTACTTAAAGTCCATGTTTGTGTAGATCTTTTCGGCTCCGCCTCGTAGGATACAAATAATTTCCAGGGTAGGCCAAACGTAGAGGATTATAATTGGCTTATTACCACTTTCTGCCACAGCAAAGTATGGATATTCTGGATTGTTGTTTTTCTAGAGAAATTTATTTTATTTAATAATGTAATATAGAAGAAAATTCTTACTCGTATATGACCAAGTCCGCCTCCTAGAGCGCTCCTCCTAAAGCTAACTTCTTTGGTTTCAACATCCAAAAAGTTAATATAATTCCCCGAAGAAAATACCAAAGTACTCTCATCAAGTACCGTCAAGTTAAAATACTTCAAGCAATCATATCCGTAAGAAAAACTAAAAACCTCAAATTCATGAAAAACTAAAAAAATCTAAATGCATAAATACTTGCTCAAACTCTAAAGTATCAAGGCTCAAACTGCCTCCATCGCTAATTTTAGATCCGGAAATAAAATCATCGGGATCATAAATGCTTTCAGTTTCTTCTTCCTCTAGTTCCTCTACAAATTCTTCATTATCAATCTGCAAAGAGCCAATTTATTAATTTAAAAATTGAAATTATTCACTTAATTTTACCTCGATTTCAGGATCTTCGGGCAAATTTTCAGTTTCTTCGTCCGTATCCATTTTTCAGATTTATTTTTTTAATTCACTGACAACTTGAAGTTTTTATTATTGCGTCGCTATGGCGAGGCTGATTGGTCGATAATTTGAATTTCTACAGGTAGTTGTAAAGGGCTCCATACACAACGTTTGAAATATTTCCGACTCATGATTAATTAGGGACATAAAGCTTCCGTATTTTTTGCTCGGTATCCGTATCGGTATCGAACTGCACATGTGCAGAAGCGATACGGAGGCCGAGATACCGTACGTACAACGTAACGTTACGGCCCTCTCGCGGTATCCGTATCGGTAACGTATCTTGACATTCCTGATACATGTGTCAAATTTTAAATGAATATAACCTCACCTTTTTTCCGGGTTGATTTAATTTGTTTAGTTTATACTTTCTTGAGTTTCTTGTGTGTTTAGTGCTTCTCTATCGCAAAAAAAATAACAATTTTACATAAAAACGCCCGAGTTTTGACACGAAAATTACTAAGTTATGAGATGCGTTTACGTTTACCGGAACAGGGAGCGCTTTAACAGCCTTTTCGCTTGTCAACGTATCTAGTTGCGTTACGGATACCGATATCGATACCGGCGAATTATTTCAAGTAGCTTTATGTCCCTACCTCTTTTTTAAGAACCAATTATAATCAAAATTTAAACAACTAATTACTTATTCTTAGGAAAATTATCCAGTGATCAAGAGCCAGTAATAATGAAAATTTAGACTGTAAGCAGCTTTTTGAGACGTTCATTGGTTATCAAAATTGAACGATCAAACGAACTTACCTGTGATGTTCGATCGTAATTATATATAGCACCTCGTCCGAAGAGATCACTGCGTTATCTTACTATGTAGTACTGCTTTTTGTACTAGAGGGAGTCACAAATTTCAAAGAACTCAAAATGTCAATCATTGCCCTTACCGACTACAGGACCCTGTTTAACCGGTAGAGTCATCTAAGTTTAAAGTTTCCCGCTATATTTTGGAAATGGGGTCTAGTCTTGGGAGGGTTGGGAGTGATCTCTTCGGACGAGGTGCTATATATAATTACGATCGAACATCACAGGTAAGTTCGTTTGATCGTTCAATTATATTACGCACCTCGTCCTCAAGATCACTGCGTTATCTTACTATGTAGCTGTTCAAAGAACAAAATATAGCGGTAGAACAAAATCCGCTCTCCGCTTGTTAGTGTACCAATGATAAAGACGAATGACGTAATAGAGTGAAATACCATGTTGATTGGTCTCGAAAAAATCGTAATCGATCGAACTAACTGTCACTGTTGCTACTGTCAGCTCAGCTTCTTCTCATTCTATTATCAGCTGAGCAGTCCCTACTGTTTATTTGATTATTTCTAATTAAATAAATAAATAAATAAATATAGAAAGTTTTAAAGTAGTGTTTATTTTCATTTTATGTTATGAAAAGTGAAATGAAGGTACCTCTATTTTTATTGTTAACATTTTTCAGGTACTGCTATACACGGCAGACATAAAATCTGATTCCTTATTATCCAGGGGTCTATTATAGAATCTAGCAAATACTTTTGATCTGTTGCTCCACCATGCATTTTTACTTATAATGTCCCAAGAAACACCAGCACGGTTTGCTGCTGATGTAGAAGCGTGTCTTGTAGAATGGGCTGTGAATATTTTCGTGTTGATACCAGCCCTGTGAAGCAAGTGTTTGAGCCAATGTGCTATGGTGGATGTAGATACATGTTTGTGAGGAGGCTTAGAAGATATAAAAAGAAAATTTTCGGAGTCTGGTCTTATTGCAGCTGTTTTTTCGATATACGATAAGAGTGTTGATGCCACGCATAGCTTTTCTTCATGAAAATATTGCAATTCGAAGTAAGGTTGATATGCATTCAGCCCTGAGGTCTTAATATTATTTGGAACATATATTTTTACTCCACTTTCCTGGAAAATAATATTTTTGACTTTTATTAGATGCAACGTTTGAAGACGTTGTCCAGTAGCTAATGCTAGAAGAATTGCTAACTTTTTCGTTAGCTCCAGGAGGTTTAGAGCATCATTAGATGGTAGGTTCTTTATGTATTTTAACACTATTGAAGGATCCCATGTTATACTGTATTTTGGTTTGGGTGGTCTTAGCTTAAATATGCCCTTAAGAAATCGTCTCACCAGAGTATTTTTTCCGATGTCGTGAGGAAGTATCAGAGAAAGTGCCGATCGATGTTGATTAAACGTAGCATAGGAGTTTTTCTCTTTATCAAACTGTAGTTGTAGGAATGTTATTATGTGTTCTACTTCTCCTTGAAAAGGGTTGATATTTTTACAGTTGCAGAATGCCCACCAGGCTTGTAAGGAACTGTTGTATTGTTTGATTGTACTCTCCGATAGTGAGGAAATGGCTGTTTCTAAGGATTGCTCTGGAAATCCTTTTTGTTTGAAGGCTTCCCGGACAGCGTTCCGGCAACCAGGGTAAGGCCTTGATGCATTGGGTGAACTTTGCTAAAAGGGGAAGACAGTAAATGTTTATTTGGTTTCAATAAAACTGGCTTTGACACCATAAGCATGTTGAAAAGGGGGAACCAGGGTTGGCTGGGCCAAAAGGGTGCCACTACTATGCCTTCTGCACCGTCACTCATAATCTTGTTTAAGACTCTAAGTATCAGGAAAAAAGGCGGGAAGGCATAGAAAAAATTATTAGCCCAAGGCACTGTAAAGGCATCGCTGGCTATAGCATTAGGGTCGCTGTGCCATGAAATATATCTTTCCACTTTGTGGTTTATATAAGATGCAAACAAATCAACCTTTGGAACACCTAATTGTTTTACTATTCTATCAAAAGCGAAAGGTGCCAGTTCCCATTCTGTTTCTACTGAAATTGTTCTAGACCCCTGATCTGCTTTGTTTTGTTTGGTATTGATATAACTAGCGTATAACCAAATATTTCTACTCTCACACCATTTCCAGATTTGCTTTGTTAAAGTGTGGAGGTCTGTGTGCTGCACACTTCCCATTTTATTAATGTAGGCCATCGCAGTGGTATTATCTACTCTTACTAAAATATTACAGGAATTTAGGTTTTTGGCAAAACATTGTAAACCCAGAAAAACAGCCTTAAGCTCTAAGGTATTGATATGTTTTTGAGCGTCTTCCCTATGCCACCAGCCATGTGTGGTTTGATTATTTGCAAAAACCCCCAGCCTGTTGTACTTGCATCAGTATAAATCTCCAGGTCAAAATGGTCATGTCTAATTGTATTTTCCATTGTATTAATATTTTTTAACCACCAAGAGATATCATCATTTATATTGTTAGATAAGTTCATTACTGCGTTATAATTTTGATTAGATTTTTGTAATGCCAAGAACTTTTCACGCTCTAATTGTTTTGTGTAAAGCTTTGCATATTTACTTGCAGGGCAAGCAGAAATTAGAAGGCCTACAAACTGTGCATATTCTCTAATCTTGCACGTTTTCTTCTTGATAAAAATATTTAAAAACTTCATTATTTTTTCACGCTTTTCTTTAGGGAGTTCTACCGTCATCTTTTTGGTATCAAATATAAAACCCAAAAATTGACACCTTTGCATTGGGATTAGGCAACTTTTTTCAAAATTTAATATAAAGCCAAGGGACGTGAGAAATTGAATTATGTATTCGAGGTCAATTTGACATTGAAGTCTTGACGAGTTCAATATAAGAAAGTCATCAATATATGATACAACAAGTATACCTTTTTCTCGAAAGTGTTTTAAAATTGGTTTTATCAATTTAGTAAAGATATATGGGGCTACTGACAGACCAAAGGGTAGGCACGTAAATTCAAACAATTCAGAATTTAGACGAAACCTCAAAAATTTTCTGTAGTTTTTGTGAATTGAAAGTAAAAAATATGCATCTTTAAGGTCAATTTTTACCATAAAGTAGTCCAAATTTAACAGTCTCATAACTGTACGGGAATCCTCCATTTTAAAATGAGGTGGGCTCAAAAAGGTGTTTAGCTTTTTAAGATTTAGGATAAAGCGCATAGAGCCATTTGGTTTTTTAGTGAGAAAGCATGGTGAGACAAACTGATAGTCAGATTCCTCACAGTGGGCTATAGCCCCTAATGCTAAAAGTTTCTCAATTTCTTTTTTGAAAATATTTACTTCACTTAAGGAGCATCTGGTCGTCGAATTTGAATTATTTATAGGCTTACTACAAAAGGGTAATTTATAGCCTTTAACCCAGTCTAAAACTTTAGACCTAGCTGGTAAAAACTGTTCCCACTTTTCAACAAAATGTCTCAATCGGCCTGCAATACAACCTACCTCTATTTCCTGAATTTTTGCTGGGGTTCCTGTTTTTTCTGGTAATACTGCTGGTGACGGGATCGAGGTTGGTAATTCGATCGGTGATTGCCCGTCCGGCGCTGGGTATAACCTGCACCCGACGGGCTTTTGAAGTTTAAATTAACTTTTTGTTTTTCGTTAACCTTTGAAGGCTCTTTTAATTTAAAAACTGACCTTTCAACTTCCTTTGCAGCTTTTATTTTTTCAGCTAAGTTTTGGCCGAATAATAGGTCATCGACTGGAGTTCCCTGAATAACCTCTTTGATAGAGGTATTTAGTGAGCTCGTTACTAAGTGTCTTCTATTTAGAGACAAATTATGGTGAACATCAGTTAAAGAGTTTTGCTCCATCGCTCAACCGAGAGATTTGCTGGTTTTTTGCATCCAGGTTATTACTGTCAGTCAAAAGACTTGAAAGGCCCTTACCTATGGCCGAAATGCCATGGCCCAGCATGGCTTGAGTTATCTCGAGGAATTTGTCCTTTTTAATTGTAATTGATGGGACTGCTTTCTTTATTTCAAGATTAATAGCTGGTGACTTTCAGGTTGGAATATTATTTAGGATTGGGTATTTTTCCTTCAAGGCTTCCCGCTCCTCCTTACCAAATCCACCACTTAGAATTTCCTCCCATCGCTTTTTTAACACAACATGAGCCTCATACCCATGTTTATTGACGTTTTTCTGCTCCCCCAAGGCTTTTAGAATGTCGTCGTCCAAATTAACGTCCTCTGTAAGAACTAACGCCTCTGGTGACCTGGGTGACCCTTGCAAATTCGCTAGGTCTATCAGGTTTTCCTGATCTTCTCCTGTTTCCCTTTCCAAGGGCACAGGAGGGCTACGAGGTGAGTGTCGAGGTCTTGATCTGGTCGTAGACTCAGATCGGCTACTTCGGCTAGTTGAACTGAGTCGAGCTGAAGTTGAACCCTCATAGCGATCGAGTCTCTTTTTGAGTAACTCGAGCTCTTTAACAACATAGGAATCTCTTCCTCGATTTCCATTGTAAGAATAAGAGGCATAAGAGCCCTGAGAGCGTCTAGACTTCGATTCTCTAGAACCTTCGGAAATCCGAGATCGAGATCGAGAAGGAGAAACAAAATGGCGGTTCTTATGAGGAGAATGCCCATGCCGAGACCGAGATCTGTTTCGAGAACAGCCCGGCGAGCGATCAGCTGGCGATCTTTTCCTTTTCCCCATCGGGCTAAGGAAGCTAAAAAACACAAAATAGATTATTTATAACGATGAAATTTACCTTAAACTAGCCAAAAAGGGATTTTGTACATTTTTCGTGACGCCTTCGGCTGCACAAAATAGCAAGATGACTCTACCGGTTAAACAGGGTCCTGTAGTCGGTAAGGGCAATGATTGACATTTTGAGTTCTTTGAAATTTGTGACTCCCTCTAGTACAAAAAGCAGTACTACATAGTAAGATAACGCAGTGATCTTGAGGACGAGGTGCGTAATATAATTTGTAATATTTCTAACACATATGAAAAACTTTATTTTAAAAAACAATTATTTATTCAAAATTTGATCAATTAGTGGTTATTGATTGTTCTTGCGAAAATTATCCAGCAAATCAAGAGCCAATAATAAAATTTGGACTCTGTTATATATTTATTTTCAGAATGAAAGAAGATGAAGATGCTAATAATATTTAAAAAAACATATCATATGTCAAGCCAAAGAATTAGGCAATTTAATCCATTTGTCAAAATGAAAAATTCAATATGGCGTGGCGGCCAAGCAAGTTTGTTTTGAATATGTTTTTATGCGTATTTCAAATTATTTTGCTTAGAGGTTTGCTTGCAACTTTGATTTTGATTATTTAATAAAATATTTGTTGATTAGGTACCTAAATTATTAAATCGGGCAGAAACTAGATATTTTTTTGTGTTTTTTGGCCCATGTGTGGCCGCCACGCCATCTTGAATGTCACGTGGTTTAAATTGCCTAATAGGGCAAGTACACGATCTGACAGTTTGACACTATTGACAGTCGCCTTGAGGTAAAACAAAGATATATTTACAGTGGTTTTTTAGGTTTTTAGTTAGATTTTTTTAATTAAATACCTTTTGTGTGGTGCAGAAGTTTCTTGGACATGCCTAGAGTTTGTTTAGTTGTTAATTCTGGAAGTATAGCGCAAGGGATACAATCCTTCCATAAGTTTCCATCAATTTCAAATTACAATGGGAGATTTGATTTGTTAGCTCAAGAAAGAAGAGAAAAATTGATTAATGTTGTTAAAAGAGAAGATCTGACAGAAAAATAGATTGAATTATAGAGTAACTATACTAATATTTTTGTTCTTGTGACACTTGGGTTTGATATTTGTTGGTAAAACCCTGAATTTAATCCATTATAGAAAAACCTAGCAAACTTTTGAATAAAAGACCACATAGACTGGAACATAAACACTTTACTTTAACTTTTTTAAAACAAAATAACACAAAAGCTTGCAAAAAAACTTTGAAAACCGCATAAAACATAACTGGCCTAATCTATACCAATGTAAATAAATGATTTGTTTTACCTCAGGGCATGTCCATGTGACGTCACAAATGAGTTTGACAGTTGCCCTGAGGTAAAACAAATTATTTATTTACATTCGTTTAGATTAGGGCGGTTATGTTTTATGCGGTTTTCACAGCTTTTTCACAAGTTTTGGTGTCATTTTGTTTTAAAAAAGTTAGAGCGTTTGTTTAGAGTGTTTGTGTTCTAGTCTATGTGGTCTTTTATCTAAAAGTTTTTCTATAATGGATTAAATTCAGGTTTTTTCCAACAAATATGAAAACCAAGTGTCACAAGAATAAATATATAAACTTAAAAAACACTGTAAATTATATCTTTGTTTTACCTCAAGGCGATTGTCAATAGTGTCAAACTGTCAGATCGTGTACTTGCCCTTAGGTACCGTTTATAATATAGCATTATTGAAAAATGCATTGAAAAATGTGTCAAATGTGATTTGCCAGATAGGCCAGACAATTTTAATACCGCGGCACCTACGAAATTATGTAAACCACACTTAAAATTGTCTGGAATTTGACATATAGTGTCATTATTATACGCAGGGCCGTGCATAGGGGGGTGCGGCCGGTACAACTTACCAGGGCCCGGGTTCCGTAGGGGCCCGGCCCGCCATCTCGAAAGAAAAGTTTTATGGTTGAAACTATTTTTATTTTTTTTTTCAAATCACTTTCGCATATACCCACAGTGTTTCGCAAAAGCTGGTCATTGTCTAACTCCCTTTATCCGAATGGAATACCCTATACATATATATATTATTGAATATTCGGATTCTGTGTAAAATTCTGAGCAGATTTCATGTGATATACCCTATCATCTGTTTTGAGTGTTTTGGAAATATTGACATTAGTTGAAAATTAACTTTTTTCTATGAGTATTGAATAATATGCGTAATATACATCCATTTTCTATCAGGGGCGCCCGCAGAAAAATATGTAGGGGGGGTCAAAATCATTTGAATAAATTTTTTATGCGTAAAAAAGGGCACTTCAGTCTAAATAATCATAATAAATAAATATTTATATAAAAAAACTTAAAACATTCTTTCTATCTAAAAAATCACCAATTCGGAGATACTTAGGTATACAGGGTGACAATTGGAAAAGTAGTAATCGGCAATATCTCTTAGACAAAAAATACTATCAGGAAGATCTCAAATACGTATTGGGGGATTGGAGGGGGATCCAAAATGGGGCACTTTTCAAGCCTCACCCCTTAGGGGGTAGCTACCCTAACTTATTTTTTTTTAAATACAAACCTGCCTTGTGTTGCACATCGTTCGATAGCTCCTTGCTTTCCCTTTACCGTCTTATAGCAAAATCTTAAATCGTACGAACATTTTTGAAAAATACACCATTTCCAACAGTATTTTAGGAAGCTTCCATTGTATTCTAGAATAGTCATTTGTATTTAAGAAATTTATTCCATTATACATAGGGGATTTCTTAAAAACAAATGAGAAAATGACTATACTAAAATACAATTGAAGCTTTCTAAAATACTGTTGGACATGGTGAAGTAATTTTGACTATCTGTAAACAAAAAAAATCTGCCATAAAAGTCTCCGACACACATCGACCAAATAATGTGTTTATTGTAATTCTATCTGCTTCTGCATGCCTCTAAAGAGGAATAAAACACCTTTCAAAGGAGGTATCACATGAGGTAGTTTCTCATTCTACACCATTTCAACCTCAATTTCGGAAAAAGTAACTTTTATTTAGGAAAATGTAAATTCAAATTTGCAAAAAGTAAATTCAAATTCGGAAAAAGTAAATTCAAATTCGGAAAAAATACATTCAATTACGGAGAAAATAATGTTATTTTTCATAGAATTGGTATTTTGAATTGATTGAGTTCTTTATCTATTCAGAAAATCAAAAAATTTGTCCATATTTCTCAAAGAGACCCGATTTTTAAACCATAAGAGAAAGAAAAATTTACCAAGTCTACGAAATAGAAGAATCAGATATTGAATTAATAGATCCAAATAAAGGAATATTTATAAAGGAAAAAGAACATTCGAGTGACATCAATTATGGGCAGTAGGTTGGGTTTCATGATCTGGCCGAATTCAAAGGTCGGATTACTGCAGCTACCTAGTATGTGGCCGAATTCAAGTATGCCCGTTTCGCTCATACGAGCATCATCGGACCTACAAAATAATATACAGGGTGACATTTTAAAAAGTTACAATGGCTATATCTCAGGAACCAAAAAAAATATAAAAAATCGCTGAAAACAATTTCTATAGTAGGAAGGGGGAAACAAAATTATGTAATAACTAACTTATCTTCACTCACCCCCAGCTACCCAAACTTAGTAATCTTAATTGACACCCCCTACTTGTGATACCTTATCAGAAAGCTTTTAAAAAATGCTTTTCAATGGTACCCTACAAGCTAAGATTCGATGTAATTAGGTCTGTTTCTGCAGAAATCAAAAACTAGTCAGAGTGAATATCATTGGTTGAAACTAGTTTCCTGACTGTTTCTGACTATTTTCAGCCAATGAAATTCGCTCTGACTGGTTTGTGATTTCTGCAGAAACAGACCTATTATTTTCAATAATTTTCAAAATAAAACCATTGAAATTAATTTTTAACTATTAATTTAATAAACATTTGAAAACATTGTTTTACTATTGTAGCATTAATCTTGAGGCTTGAACATTTTAGGCTTGTATTATTTTTTGTTTATTCGTTGTTTTGGGAACCTGAAAAAATTGACGAGTCTAAAAAAATACAATTTTAATTCAAATGAATGAAGTTTTATCTACCCAATAAACCCAAAACATCGAATCCTAGCCTGTAGGCTACCATTGAAAAGCATTTTTTGAGAGCTTTCAGATAAGGTATCACAAGAAGGGGGTTGCTATTTGAGAATATTTAGTTGGGGTGGCTGGGGGTGAGTGAAAACAAGTTAGTTATTACATAATTTTGTTTCCCCCTCCCTACTATAGAAATTGTTTTCAGTGATTTTTTATATTTTTTTTTAGATTCCTGAGATAAAGCCATTGTAAGTTTTTAAAATGTCACCCTGTATGTAGAAAAATTATTACGGGCGTCTAGCCCCCCAGATAAACGGTGTGGGGGTTTGGCAATAAACATATTTGGTTTCCTCTGTGCGTATTTGAGACTTTTATGATAGAATTCTTTTTAGTAAAAAATAGTCAAAATTAATAGTTTTCAAAAGTGCTTACATTTAAACATTGATATCTCAAAAACTAATCGTACGATTTAGATTTTGCTATAAGACTTAAAGGGAAATCAACGAGCTATCCAACGATGTGCAGCACAAGGTAAGTTAGTATTTAAAAAAAAAGTAATAAGTTATGGGAGCTACCCCCTAAGGGGTGAGGCGGGATGCCTCATTTTAGTTCCTCGTCCAATCCCTCAATTCCCCCGATATTTTTTGTCTTAAGAGATATTCCCGATTACTATTTTTCAAATTGTCACTTTATATGTACCATCGTCACCAAAAGTATCTGGGGCACAAATAATGCATAATAATCTCCTGGACTAATTCTACTGTCATTCATTTCAATGCATTTAATTGACCTTTTGTTTGGACGCCATATTGCGGTGCGCGAACATGGTTGCCAAAAGTAGAAAAAAAAATTACTAGCGTTCTGTCAACATTAAAAACAAAAGTTACTGAATAAATTATATCTAAAATTCA